GCATAATTTCACGAAATTCAGCTGTTAAATGGCCAGCCAGATCGTGTGATTTAACAACACTGGATTATTTTTTGTGGGGCTATGTTAAGGACAGAGTCTATACGGAGCTAATCGAATCGATCGCGGCCTTAAAACTCAAAATCCGTGACGTGATTAACGAAATAGACCCGCCATTTTGCCAAAAAGTGATTAAAAACTTTGATGAAAGAATCGACATCTGTCAGCGTGGTCGTGGTGGACATTTGCCAGATATCATTTTTCATTCATAATTGCCAAACTTTTCTCTCCGTAATACAATAAAAATTTGAATCATCTTCATCTAAACTCTTTGTTTTATTTTGTTTTAGAAAACAAACTTCTTGTTGAAAAACCCGTTATATACATGCACATATATATTTTGTTATAATATACATATTTATATTATATAAAACAAAACAATACAGAAGTACATGATTTTATAGCGATATCCGAGAGATTACAAGTAGGTATATACGGAAACAAATTCTCTATAATCCAAGCATATGCCCATTTGGAGGAGGCTTTCACCGCAAAAGGCGGCCCTTACACCTAACAATACTAACCTTATTTAAAAACAAAACTAACATTACTAACAAATAAATAAATAAGCATACATAATAGTATATAAGAAATACATACATGTAAGGGATTAAATAAAGCTAATAATAATAATAATATATATTTACGAGACATTGAAGCATTAATCAAAGCTAAGATCGCATTTTGAAAATAAATCAACTGATTGAATATGTGTTAATGATCTACACATTTCGTATTTTCCCTTCTGTTTCCTCTTTTGATCTTAAGGAAATAAATATGAAGTGAGGATTGAATTTATTCTGGTTTAATTTCCAACGTAATGACTGCCATATATGACAGATTCAAATAAAAAAACCGCTTGAGAAACATTTTTGAAATTGCCTGCTGTTATATAGTCTTTTGATTTTTATACTTTATTAAGGTATTGCATAGCTTCTATCGCGGGCCTTGAGCGCGGAGACCGAATCCAGAAATTCCGTAACGAAAAAACCTCACGCTCCCCACTCCGACGGGCACGGAGGTGTGGCGTTGAAAGCCGTGCATCGTCTAACGTCGTTTCAGTTCGACAGACTTCGGCACTCGGCAGACTTCGGCACGGTGTTTGGGTGCGTGCGACTAGACGTATGCGTGTACACTAGCTGCTAACTCAATGATAAAACTTCCTGAATAACCTACATGTATTGTAAGATATTAAAAATATTTTAAACAATATTAACTTCTCATTTATTCAATAAGAGAAAAAAAATTGTTTTCTTATCGGTCACCACGCTCAAAAAGTGTAACTTGATCAAAGACTTAACTGCATAAATAAAATAAATAAATAATTATAATTGCATAAGTTGATAAAAATGCTATGCAATAGCTTTACCGCGGCAGTCACCGAGTGCCACACGTATTTTTTAAACACAAGAGACCCGCACTAGCTACGCCAGGGTATGATATATTAATGTGGCTTTTTTAGATTTAAGATTTATTTTATAAATTTTTGGATTTTTAAAAAAGACTCGTCATTTATTTCATATAATATCTAGGATTGACTAGTCCTAGGGTAGATTCCTATCTGTTCGCCATGTTTACTTATATTAATCCATTTCAATGATTCTCGGACAGACAGACTGACAAAAATTTTAAAGAAGGTTATTCATGTCATAGTTATTTCGATATTATAGATTTTATTTATTTGTATAGATTCACTAATTTATACCTTTAATTTTTAAGTAAAAAGAAACGTGATAGACGAGCATACAGTCCCATCTGAATAGTATGTGAATACTAGTGTTGAACATACATAGACATTTACATTTATCCTCGACAAAAAATCAAAATGCATATGCATAATGCATATCACTGAGGAGGAACCCCTGCCACCGTACCTGATTACCTATCAGTTCAATATAGCCCTTTGAAAATAACCATTTTTCTTCTCTTTAATATTAAAATCGATTTAAAGGTTTCATATATTATGTCCTCGTTAAAAAAGTTGGTCAAATATATTGTCATGTACTGTTCAGATTAATAAAAAATATAGCTGCTATAATGTATTCTTTTATAGTATCTTATTCTATACATAAGATGTTCCGTTAATTTTTTTATATAAAATAAAATATGATGTAATTTTAGTAGTTTACAAAATGCTTTACAGTTTTAATTTATCTGCTTATTTTTTTGTTCAAAAACTTTTATGCTCTTCTTCCGGAGGAAATGAATGTTAGTAGGAAAGAAGAAAAATTATGTAATTTAAAAAAATAATAATTCACACGTAACGTTTTGAATCATCATCATCATCATCATTACAGCCATTCACAAGTCCACTGCTGAACATAGGCCTCCCCCAAGTAATGCCACAAAGCACGGTCCTGAGCCACCTGCATCCATCGACTTCCTGCATGTCTTACCAGGTCGTCACTCCATCTAGTGGGGGGTCGCCCTACACTACGCCTACCGGTACGAGGAGTCTATCACGCAGAGAAACTCCGAGCATAGCCCTCTCTATAGCTCGCTGAGCGACCTTGAACGTCCTCATACGGCCAGCAGTGAAGGACCACGTCTCTGATCCGTAAGTCATCACTGGCAACACGCACTGGTTGTACACTTTAGTTTTCAGAGTTTGAGGTATACCTGACGAGAAGATGAGTCGTAATTTCCCGAACGCTGCCATTACGAATGCATTATCCGTTGGGAGACACCATTGAGGTCATTGAGCATAGTGCTAAGGTCCTCCAGCGATTCTGCCATAAGGACTATATCGTCGGCAAATCGAAGGTGAGTGATGTACTCGCCATTGATGTTAATACCGTATCCTTTCCAGTCCAGTAGCTTGAAAACGTCTTCCAATGCAGCGGTGAAGAGTTTCGGAGATATCACGTCACCCTGTCTTACACCTCTCTGCAGTTGGATAGGTTTCGAGCTCCGATTCTGTACTCGGATAGCCATCGTAGCCCTACTGTACAAACACTTTAGTACTTCGATATACCGACAGTCAACTTGGCACCGCTGAAGGGACTGTAGCACCGCCCAAATTTCGACGGAATCAAAGGCTTTCTCATAATCCACATACGCCAGGCAAAGTGGCAGATTGTACTCTTCGGTCTTCTGTACAATCTGCCGCAAGGTATGTATGTGGTCTATGGTACTGAAGCCTATTCGGAAACCGGCTTGTTTGGGAGGCTGGAAGTCGTCGAGTCTGCGTGCGAGACGATTCGTAATGACTCTTGAAAACAGCACGTAGACGCGGCTGAGAAGGGAAATCGGTCTGTAGTTCTTCAAGAGAGTGTTGTCGCCTTTCTTAAAGAACAAGACCACCGCACTTCTGCTCCACGCCTCCGGAGGAGTGCCACCATGGAGGACGGAATTGAAGAGCTTCTGAAGGACTTCAAGGAACACCGGTTTCCACCCGCTTTCAGAAGCTCCGCTATAATTCCATCCTCGCCTGGGGCCCTGCCGTTTTTAAGGTGCTTGAGAGCCATTCTAATCTCGCTCAGACTGACGTCCGGGATATCATCGGAATAGTGTCGGGTAAGACTTGCTCTTGGATCGTTACTCACACTTACGTGTGGCTCCAACGATGATGTGTACAGCTGCCCATAGAACCTCTCAATCTCACTCAAAATCTCAGGTGTCTCGGAAACGATGCTGCCACACTCAGTCTTCAGATTTGACAGTTGGCTCTTTCTGGCAGACAGATCTCGGGCAAAGACTTTGGAGCCCTGGTTCCGCTCGATCGCATCTTTAATATGAGCAGTATTAAAGTTGCGTAAGTCTCGCCGCATGCATTTGGAGATCTGTCTGTTCAGTTGCCTGTATGCTGTCAAATCTGTTGACGATTGCAGCCTCATCTCCCATCTAACAGCCATGAGATTAAGAGTGTGATCGGAGAGTTTTTGTGTGCTTCTGCGGCGGGTCTTGCAGAACTTAGCTCCGACCGCATGGACAGTTTCCACGAGCTTGTCATTCATATCGTTCACTGCATTGCAATCTTCTAGGCACTGAAAGCGGTTACGTAACTCGAGCTGAAAGTTTTCGGGATTCTGGATTAGAGCACGAGGGGGACGGAGCGTTGACTTCATTAGACGAGACCTCTCCAACTTAACGTTTAGGTTCAGTGTGCCTCTAACCATTCGGTGATCGCTGCCAGTTTTCACCCTTGCGATCACTGAGACATCACTGAACAGTTGGCGTCTGGTCGTCATAATGAAGTCAATCTCATTTTTTGTTAAACCGTCGGGGCTCGTCCAGGTCCACTTCCTGTGGGGCCGCTTCTGGAAGAAAGAGTTCATCATAAAGAGTCCCTCTTTCTCCATAAAGTCAACGGAACTGAAAGGGCCAGCTGCTGGCCCCTTCAGTTCCGTTGCCCTACTCCAAATTTCCCTAACTTCAGCTCACCGTTTTCTCTTGTGCCTAGTTTTGCGTTGACGTTACGTAACGTAACGTTTTGAATAATCAATGGAAACGTTGAATTATTCAATTATGTTTGAATGAAATATTTAATATTACTTAAGTTTTGCTTTAGGTAGTAACGCCTTGATAAAGTATTTGGTAATAACATATACGACCTACAAGCATTTAGTAACCCCTAGTTTAGTCTTAGTACTTTGAGCCTTGGTAGTATTGCTTTTTAAGTTATTTTCTTTACATTTTCCTTAAGCGCTATGTTTTAGTAAGTAGACGGTCCGCGCGTTGCTAAGTCGCGTTGATGTCAGCAGACTGAGTCTTGAAACAAATGTGCGAGTATATTTATAAATTATATTATCTGATGCCACAACGATATCTTTATCAGTTAACGACGATCTGCTGCGGTGTTGAGTATTTCAGATGAGTGCATATATATTTTAGAATGTTTTTGAAAAAGTGATGTTTAGTTTTAATATTCGAATGAGTTTAGTGTCGTGTTTGTGTTGATTTATTTTTAATTTGATTGAGTTTGAGATTTCATTTATTTAAAAATGAATGTGACGGAGTTGAATACGGAGCTATTTCCAACAACAACAATGATGCCGATGACTACGGACGTGATTCCGACAGAAGCAGGCACAGGCGTTAGACCATGGCTGTTAGGTTTTATTATGGAGGTTTGTTTATTGTGTGTTTTTGAACTTAACGTAACTTACGGAATTATTTAACATTATGATATCCAACATTTTTCTGAAGTGAAGTTCAAACATAATAAGTTGAATGAGGCGCTTTATTCGAAGATACAATCAATTCCTATTTTATTTTTTTTATTTTTCATTAAATGAGTGACTTATGAGAACACATTCCACTTGATAATGTATGGAAAGATGGATGATATATGTGGATGCTGTGATACTTTTATGCTCCGTCAGGGATCAAAATGCAGAGGACTAAGTTGGAATTCCTCTTTTCCAGTTAAAAGGCTCTCCAGTTCTCTACACTCACCATACGAAACAGCAGCCTTCAGCTGCTATTTTACGCTGAAATTCTGTGAGAGCGTGGTCCTGTCCTTTCTTGTTGCGAGTCGACCCATTCGTGCTACGATATTATTGTCTACATAGGTATCAGACAGTTAAATTGCCTTTTTTTAAATGAAAACTTTAAAATCGTGATTTGAAACGAAAAAATGACACTAAAAAGAGAGATCTATAGGATTTAGCCTGCGAGACAATGAGATAGAATACAGTATACAGTGTTTATTTTAAATTAATTTATATTTTTAATTACATAAACTCTACAATTATCCTACTCCTGATACTCTGCATTCGTCTCATTCTCTTGAATTCCAAACGGATTAGATCTGCAAAATCGTTGTAATTAACCATATCCCAGGATATGTAACTTAGATCAGTTCGAGTAGTTAACTAGTTTGTTAGAAATTTAGATATCTCTAAAACTAATAACATTAGCATGTCGAAAGTAGGTAACAAACATCGTGTTATTGTTTATTATCATATTAAGTTTTACTGTCTTAAAACTGTTTGTTGGTCGTTATAATGTTTACTAATAAAAATAAATAACAGTTTTTACGCTCTGTCGTCCCTTTTAACATTAAACATGTCATATAAAGGCTTTAAATTCTTATTATTATTTCACTTATTAAAGAAGGCAAGTAAAGCTGATATTAACGGCTATTGACATCGGACCGCGATAGTAAATTTTGTCGAACTCAGTTTAAGAATTAAGATATCATTATCATAAAGAGAAGTCATAAGATACAAAGATTAGATGACAGCTTTTAACTTTTAAATCATCCAAAACAAGTGTATTTTTTTAAAATAAGGTCGGATATCAGTTACACCTGGAAATGATGCCGTTTATGTTTAAGCGAATTTTCGCACTTGATTCGACCGAATATTGTTGTTATTTGAGTTTATACAATTTGAAAGAGAAAAATGTTTTAAGCCAATTATCGTTAGGGACAACGTAGCGTAGTCCATAGCTACTGGTTAATAAACTTCGCTCTACAACAGGTCTTATGAGTGAAAGAATCACGAGAGAATTAGCTATATTGACATGATTTTGATGGAAATATTTTCAAATTTATTGGAAATTTGCTCTTAACCTATAAATATGTGGGTTGGGAACTAATATGTGACCTTGCACGCTTTTTGAACAAGGACACTAGCTTATAAGTTATAACCCTTAGAACTGGTGACGTTCGTACCACGCATAAGCGGAGCGGGTTTGCCAATTAAACATTTCTCCCACTTTCACCAACTTCGACCTGCGCTTGTCTGTTTAGTAGGTACCGCTAGCAACACTTCGATCGATGCGTAACGTCATGAAGCTATCGGCAAACCTACTTTTTTTTTGCGCCCGAAGCAAATATGGGCAACCCTCCGGAAAGCCGGGGAGGGAGGTAGGGAATGCTCATAGCATACCACGCAGCCGGCTGCGTGGTTATGTGGTGACTTTTACCCACTAAACACAACTTTTTAGGAACTGGCTTAACGATCTGACTAGAGATCTCTAAGCCGTATACGAACGCGACTCTCCTTGGCAGAAAGGAGGGCGTATGGCAAACCTACTACGTGCGGATGGTTTATATAATGGTGGCTACACACAGTCAATTTTATTATCAGTTTTCACTGAACAGTTTAAGTTGTCAGTTAAATCTGGTATCCCGTGTGCATTTTGATATGTTGATATTCAATGAAATAAAAACAACTTTTTTAATAAGATGTAATTGGACGACGATTCTTTAGCCGTACTTAGTCGATTATTAGTTTAAAGGTATTAAAAAAAGGGAAAGAGTGGCGAATAATGGAAATGCTTATTCCCATTTAGACTTTTTAAAACCGAAAATAAAGTTTTTCCAATAGACCTTCTGAACAACTCCCAGAATGAGTGATGAAAGCAACCTCAATCTACACTCCCTAGTGATTTTGTTTCAATAGTAAAAGTGATACAGATATGAGAAATGCACTCATGCGATTGTAATTCGCACTCTTATTTTGCCACAAGCAAGGCTCTGTTTTCATTACATAATAATTCTATAAACAGGGACAATACTGTTATTATGACATTTTTATGGTATGTGAGTAGGAATACATAAGCAGATTAAACAGGCACAAATCTGTTTCTACATTAAGGGGATATAGTAAGTCAGCTCACATTCTAATTTCGTCCCCACTTGCCCGCGCGTCGTATGCTATGTACCGACATGTTTGTAATCACTAATACTGTAAGTAGAAAGGTCGTTAGACACATTTATGCCTGTTTCTTAACGCCAAGCCAGTCGCTTCTTATTTTTATCACGGTTATTTCCCATTTTAATTTTACGTCGTCCTGTTGCGTAATGTATATTCTGATCGTAAGCGACACAACCTCCTCCTTCAAAGGCCGAAGCGAAGTGACCGGGCGGCAGGAATCACGCTTCAAGAGGCCGATAGTTTAGGTAATTTCTTTTTACAGTGAAAATAATGGTATTTAAAAAAAAGTAAATAACATAAGCACTGCTTTATAGTTAGTTCAGTTAGTATGCAAAGTTTCATGATCTTATTTAAAGTATTTTATGAATAACAGCGGTTTATTGTTTATTTTGGAGGTAACTTTGGATTTTTTTTTCTATCGAGAAAATTTTACGAAATCGTGTTTTCGTCTAACATAATCCTTAACATTAATCCTCAACTTTACCATATATTTATTTCAAATTAATGCTGCAATATTTTCGGCATAACGAAGGATCTTGCTAAGACATTTGAAATTATATTTCCCCTTAAGATCTCATCATGACTGAAGAGAAACATACGTACAGTTTAAACTGCACGGTTCCGTCAGTTCACTATAAAATTTTGTGATTACACACAAAGAATAAAACTTAAAGTTATTTTTTTTAAGTAAGTACTATCCGATAGGACTCACGGAATATCAGTTAAAATTGATATAAAAAATTGTTAGTCTTCATCTTACAGAGTTTAAACTGTTCAGTGAAAACTGACAGTCAAAACTGATCGTGTGTAACCGCCATAATACGTATTATAAAATGTATAAAATTAGCACAGACACGGTTTCATTCGTCCTCACTTTTATCTGTGCAAATTAGGTAGCTATCAGTATTATCTAAACATTTTTTGTTTTCTTATATTTACGCGAACACTACACATTTAAATAAAACTAGTTTTTACGGATTTTATCGCGTATATTAACTTATTTTATATTTCCCGATCTTTCGAGACTTAACAGCACGCATGGTTACTGGGGGAACTGAAGTGTTCGACGTCCCAATGTCATAAGTTACCTCTAGATTAAAATTATATAATAATTCGGACGTCGAACTCCTCAGAATCCCCGTAACGATGGGTGCTGTAAAGTGCTCGAAATGCCGGTATATAAAATAAGTTAATATACCCGATAAAATCCGTAAAAACTGGTTTTATTTAAACCCTTTTTGTCTTTTACTTACTTTATTTAACCGACTTCTAAAAGAGGGGCCTAAATTAGACTGTATGTTCCTCTATTCTAAGCATAATTTTATTGATTTTTGCCTTATAAATATTGGATAAAATTCCACCCCAAAAGGAAGGGAAAACAGGTAATGAAATTTTAGTGAACTATTTGAACGTGTCTTTAGTGAATATCTTGAGCTTGTGATGTTACTTATACCACACAAAGGGGTCAATAAACTAAACTTAACAAAAAGTAAAAGCTAAATTCAAAGAACTAAAAACACTAAAACTATTTTCATATAGTATTGGCTCCTGAAATCGGGATTTAAATTTTTATATGCACTATGTCCTAACACCTACGTCACTGACTTCTGCTGCTTTCTTATTTTTACAGCTGTAAAGTTTTAAGAACTAAAAGTTTAATTTTTAAAACAACGAGTATTGGCTATAATTGCCGAATACACTGAAATATTCCGTGAAATATCTCCGGTAGATAGTATTTAAGTATGCAATTATTTAAACGTCGCAATTTCGTGAAACTTAAGCAACAAAAAGATAAGATCATTCCATTCGTCTTGACGACCGTATCAAACGGTGTAATTCATGCTTTAATTTTATCAAACAAAACTAACAGAATATTGATTTATTATAGACCGTGATAATATTAGAATCTAAATAATTTTTATATATTTATAATTTTATTATTATAATTTTTATATATCAAATATATATTAGCGTATTTAGCAGGGAGGGGAGATGTGATAAGGATATAGAACGACGAGTGAATGCAGGCAATAGAGTAAATGGGGCCCTACACTCTATTGTGAAGAGTCAAAATGTGTCGAAAAAGGCACGTATGGAAATTCACAATGCTGTGTTGGTCCCAACTTTAACGTATGGTAGTGAAAGTTGGGTGTGGCAGAAGAAGCACGAGAGTAGAATGTCGTTAAGGAGTATGTTAGGGCTGAATCTGAATGGCAGGGTGAGAAATAGTGTGATAAGAGAAGAGTGTGGTTTGCAAAATGATGTTGTGACCAGGATTAAGAAAGGAATGCTTCGGTGGTTTGGTCATGTAGAAAGAATGAATGAAGAAAGAATGACAAAAAAAATTTATGTTGCAGAAGTGAATGGCAGAGTCGGAAAGGGACGTCCTAGGCGAAAATTTATCGACCAAATTGGCGATTTATTGAAAACGGGCCAAATTAGGAGCACCCTTAACCGACGAG